AAGCTTTATTAAAGAAGTACTGGTCTTGATTTCCTTCAAAAAGTTCCAGAATCACAAAAGAAAGAACTATGCAAAGAAGTTAAATGTCAGATAGTTGTTCGTGAATTTGCCAAAGCATTGCCACCACCAAAGAATTTAAAGGCTCTTCCACCTCCAAAATAAAAAGAATAAATATATATATTATTATAAATAGAATAAATATAATAAATATTATGCATATGGCGTATTACTATTTACAGAATTGAAATGGATCAATGAGAAGCAATCTGTAATTGAATAAGGATTTCACTTCTAATATTGCTTGTTTATCTTAAATTTTCTTTTATTGATTTGAGACCATCAGTCGAGAGTGTCTTTTCTATTTCATTACTTGATTTAAATTCAGTACTTCGTATTTTTTGTTTTAAAACTAAATTCCAATCAAGTAATAAATCATCTATACTTAAACCATGCTGATAAAGCTCAGAGCAACACCAAGAAAATATATCCTTCCTATTATAATGAATTGAATTTATCGCAATATTTTTCAATATGACGTATCTATTAGATTTTGTTATTTTCAATTTGATAATTGATGTATCTGAAGAATAAAATGGATTATAGTCGATATGTGAATAATCTGACTCTACATTACTGGTATGGCCACCTCTTATTTTCGATTTGTTAAAATTATGGATGCTAATTGAATTCAAATAAATTAACTTGGCATCATCCAAACATTTTGAATCACTGTTTATATTTGAGTTAAATATCTTATCTTTTGTTTTGAAACCTTTAAAAGAAGTCAGATGTTTGATATATAGCGATGAAATTATATTCCACATGGAGTTTAAATGTTTTGGATCGGCTCTGTGTGCTTTAGACAATAAATCTTTTACAATAAACCTAAATCTTTTCGTTTCCTGTAATGATTCTGATTTCATTATGCTTGTCATCAATGATTGAATAACAATGGGATATGATAGTAAACTATCATTAGAATCCAAGTTTTTAAACAAACTCACAGCTTTATTGAAATCATCCACTTTCCCGGATCTAATTAGATGTGTTATAATGGCTTGGTAATTTTCTGCCGATATCTTCCCATTAACTTCTATAATTTGTTTCAATACATTATTGACACCATCAGAATCATTAAATGTTAGATGCATTCTTAGTAAAGCAGATAAGCAACGTTTTGATTTAAGAATTATTGGGATATTTTCTGGGATAATATTTTTATTAACGTCACTAATAATTTTTTGAGCTTGTTTTAAGTCTCTTGATTTGGTAGCAAAATCGACAAACTCTGGAAATATTAATTGACTATTACAATAATATTTTGGTGGCAACTGTTGAATGATTTCTTTGCCCATTGATTTATGAGATTTATGATGAGTTGCCAAATTTAAAACTTTGTATAAAATATTAGGATCATGGGAAGTAAAGGAAGGATAATTGTTCTTAATTTTTGTCCAAGTTGAAAAAACTCTAGATGGATTATTCAACTTGTAATTGAGGTGAATTAAATCATAACCTGCAATTAATTGATCATTTCTTAACTTGTCCTTGGAAGGAAAATGGTTTGCATCTAATATCTTGTTCAAGATTTTATTTGTTAAAATTGGAAGCTCTTTCATTGATAAGGCTTTTTCACATATTGATGTTGATTCTAATTCAGTTAATAATAATTCTTTACCTTTAGACTTATACAATTGATCTAATTCCAAAAATTTTAGTAAATATTGGTAATTATATTTTGGATTATTAAATGATAATGCTTTTATTAGTTTTCTTGAATATATTTCGTTTAATGGATGATCTGGGTGCAATTTATGGTAGAATAAGTACAAACTCACTGCGACTATTAATTGATTATTAGACAATGAATGGTAAATTATATAACTTAGCAATTGTTCATTGTCTTTAATCAAAAAGCTTTCACCATTGATTTTGTTTATCAGAGTATTAACAGTGTTGAAATTATTTTGCAAACCATGAACAAGAAGTTCTCTATAATAAGTTGCTAAAACTGTTGTTGATTTCGATTTGTTTCTATTTACAAAATTTATAAAATTCTCCATCGATGCTACATCAATTATAGATTTTTTGTCAACATTATTATTATTTTCCAAATATTGCCAGTAAGCTCTCATACATTTTTTTGATTTATTTGTGATATCACTGTTCTCATCAATTAATGATTTCAATAAAGAGATGGTATTATTTTGATCAAATCTGCTATAACATCTTGAAAGTTTCTGATATCGTATTAAACTTTGAATATGAATGAAGTTATTTAATTTTGAATATATTGAGAATTTTCGAAAAACTGTATACCTTTGTGCAGCCTGTTTCCATGAAAGACTACAATTTAACCCTTCAATAAACATCTAATTAGTATGAGTTTTATATAACCTTAAATGCCATTAAAAAATCGAAATCGAAATTGAAATTAAAGGTAAAGTGAAAAATGAAAAGTAAAGATAAACAGAAGGATAATCAACGATCTGATATGAATATACACATGGGATGGAATAAAAGTTGCTTGAACCACTAGCAATGGTTTCACTAATCTCGATATTACTAACTCTGTAAGGTCCTTTACTGATGATTTGATCAACCAAAAGTTTAAATATCAAAGTTTCATAGCTTCTAAAATAATAGAGGCCCATTTTTTTGAGATGGAAAAAAAAAAATTAGTGCTAAAACCCGTTTAAATTGAGATCATAGTATAGTTAACCAGTGGTTATTATCATATTGAATATTTAATAACCATTAGGGAGGAGGAGGAGGATGAAGATGATTCAACATGATCGATATATTATTTATTGACTTAATATAATGGTACAGCTTTTAAATTGTTATCTTTACCACAATTTTGACAAATTGAAAGGTCCAAAGTTTTTATTGTGCAGATGTAGCAATATAACGATTGACAACATTGGAAACGATAAGGTTGACTTGGAAATTCATCACATCTTGTACAAATTGTAGAATCCGTTAATGATTTATTTTTCAATTTCATTGGTTTAAACTTTCTTTGCAACCATGCTGAATTGTTTAATAAAGTCATATTAAATAATTCCAATATCGAATTCCATAATAATTGTCTATTTTGAAATTGTAAATTTGAAACAACAGTATTTTGATAAAAGTCTGAAGAAGATTCTAAATTTGTTCTTGTAATTGGTACATTTAATAATCTATGGATTGGTGAAATGAACAAATGACTATTATTAAAAGAACTCAAAAATTTCAAAAAATTGATCAGGTCTAATAAGCTATAAATTTTATTAAACCAATGTAATAGATATAACAAACTTTCATTTGAATTGTTGTAAATCAAATGTTGAAGTTTCTTATTGATGTAATTTTTCAATATTGTAATAACGAATAAGGTTTTCTTCGTTGCATTAAATAAATTATTGGAAGTTAATTCTAATGCATAGGTAGTGGTTAAATTGTTTCCCTTCTTGTAAGTTGAAAATAGAAATATTATAGAATTTAATAAAAATTCCCATTCATGTTCATTATTTCTTATATTCAAATTTTGTTTAAACTCTCTCCAGTATAAATCGTGTAATTCATTATCCAGTTCTAATGAATCGAAAACAGCAACTCTACTCATATTATTATTTATATATTCTATTCTAATCCCTTGAAAATATGACAAATGAAACCAAATAATCCTTAATGATCTGAATTATATTTATCTTGTTTGTAATAGCTTATATCCTTTATATATCTTGTCAAAGGAAGTTTAGTTTAGACAGCTTATCTTTTTTTCAAACTAATCAGCTTCTATTTCTGTATTATCCTTCCTAATTTGATCTTCTCTTCTCTTCTCTTATAATCGATCTAACTTAATCATATATCACTTCAATTTAACTCCGTGTAGTTAGTTCATGATGATTGTTTAAATGGAGTTTGTTGATGATATTGATGATGTTGATGATGTCGATGATGTAGTAATTGTTTATGTTGTAATTAAAAATATAAATAAACTAAACTTATATATAAATAAAGGATAAACAGAGATCATTTACATTTGCTGATATTCTGTTTCATGCTAAAGATAGTGACAGTATGATAATCCGGGTGTCCCACTATCATACTGCCATTGTTAAATATTTGTGAAGGATCAAAGGGATATAAAACATAAAGATTAGATGGGGTTGAAGGGGGAGGGAATAGCAACAAGGGCTATTTTTTCTATCATTTTATGATTGACATCAGTTATGTAACTGCTCGATTGAATAATTTAATACTCATATCTATCATCAATACAATTATGTCATTAAAATTATTTTCAAAGAATAAAAAAAAGGAAAAGTAAACAACAATGAAAATTACATTTGTTTGCTTGTGGTACTTTTGTAATGAGAACAACTAATTAATACCTTTAGTATGAATTCACATGCCAACCTTGTATTTTTTCATTTGCTCGACTGTTAAAAAGATCAATACAGTAAATGGACCTAATCTTACAAAACTTGGCAGCCAGCCTCTGAACATGAATTGAGGACCTTCGTTTTGAACAGCTAGAATTAATGTCTTCATGGCAGAATGCTTTGGATTATGATCGTTCATAATTCTTGTCTTCATCACATCTGCTGGTGAACAAACTGTTGTTGCTATAAAACCTGCCATTAATGATGCAGTAAAATGAGTCTTCTTCTCCTGTGGATTCATATTTAAGTTTGTAACCAAATAATTTTTGAATAAATCATAGGTTACTACTTGTGATGAAGTCATTAAAATACCTCTAATTAAATTTGGGGATAAACCTGCATATAATCTTGGAATACCACCATCATATTTATAAATTTTAATTAAACCATCAATTGCGTTTTTATAGTTTCTTCTTAAATGAGGTTCTAAAGAAGTATCATTTTGCATTCTAATATTTACAACATCTGCAGGATTACCAACTAACCCACCAATTGCTCCACTAACCATTGAAGCAGGCAATAGATATGAAACGTCATTTAATTTATCCTTTGGAATTACATATTCCTTTAGCACATCATAACAACCAAATCTAGCTGTTGTATAAGTACACTGTCTTAAAATAGCAGCACTTAAACCTGAATATAGCCCTACTACACCTTCATTACGTAAAATAGTTGAAAACATAGTGAATAAAGATGGTCTTGGCAATGGTGAAGTTTGTAATCTAACTTTTGATAAATCCAAAGGATGAGTACACATAGTGGCAACAATGCCACCTACACCGCCATACCACCAAGGGTATTTAATAGGTTCAGAAGATTCTTTTGACATTTAGTTTAAATTTGTTTAATTTAGCTTAAACCTCTTCTATTTTATTACCAATTTAAGTTAAAAATTTGAATAAGCTTTACCTAAATTTGATTATGATTATAGAAGAAGATCAATTCTAAAATACAAATTTAATTCAAACCATGTCTTTTTTATATAATTGCTACAATTGCTATTATTAATGTTGTTATCATCATTATCAATGACAGTTGTAATTGCTCATTCAAAAGGTAGTATAGATAGATAGTATCAGTAGTACATTATTTTATTGTTTTAATATTTTTTTTTTTTGCTTCGGAAATTTAGTCACTTTGCAAATGTTAATCGTACAGTGGCAATGACGCAACTATCCAAGACATAATAATAAAAGTAAAGGGCAGCGATAATGTGTAGATGTCAAAATGGCAAATTCTTTCCGCCCGCCTATGATCACAATTTAATGTTATAGTTTATTTTTTTTTATACACAAATGAGTTGAACTGTGCTATAATAAATAAACCTACCAGATTATTAATGGCTATCAGATTACCGTTAAAACTAATAAATATAGGACGGATAAACTTCATGACCCCTACTTGTTTGTCACGCGCCATCTCTAGACTTAATCAGATAAACATAACCCATTATTTACCATAAAAAATAACTTGTGTATAATAAGCAGGTAGAATTAAGTTTGAAGATAAAAATAAAAACATATAAACAGCTTCCTTGGTCATGCATTTCTTTTTTGATCGGTTGATTAATGTGTGAAGAAAAAAAAAAAATTAAAGATGTATCGACACTAGTTTGCATAACGAGAAAACCATGTGTACAAACCGGCGAAAGGAATCATTAAATGAGGAAAAAAAAAAAAAACAGAAAATTCTTTAACACTAATTTAATTGATGTATTGGAAGAGCTCAACAACGTCACGCGCCAGCGGTATTTTAATTCCTATGCAGTTTTTATTAGAGATGAACTAAATTGTACAATATCCCAATCCATTGCATCCCATCAACTATGTGTATCTGATTGTTCAAAAAAGGAACTAATATTTGGAGATATGTAAACACAGACACATACACCAACATCTCTTTCCTTTAGTAAACCACCACCACCACCACCACCATCAATTAATTATCTTCCTTTACTTGCTTGACCCGACCCGACTCACAAAGCCATCCTCAGTGGGAGGAGGAGGAAGAGGAATTAAACAAAAAGTCACATGACCACACGTGACTCCAACTAAAAATATTTATATACAAAATACACACACATTATATCATATAGATTTGATTTTTTTCAACTATATAGATAACAAACAGTACATACTAGTGGCCAGTCATATCATACCATACTGGTACCCCATACCAAACATTATTAATAAGAAACACAGACACAAATAAAAACAAAAAGTGTTGTTGAGAAAAGAGAAATATATATTCTTGAAAACCAAATCCTAACGCTTTATATACCTCTTTGATAAATCAAATTAAATTAAATATAGTCCAATCGAATCTTTGTGGCAGCAAGATTTTTGCCCTTTTGTTGAATCTACGTCAATCCCCACACCAGTGCTAGCGGTGGTGATACTTCTGATCTAATGTTATATTTTTAAGGGATACCTGACAGACAACTGATCAAATCAAATGACACAAAATACCACAAAAACCAGAAATCAAGTTAATTATGCGGTGGTTACCATAAGTACGGTATCTAAGGGTCATCCATTTGAATAAACAGAACTCTCTGTCTCTAACTGTAACAGTCGCGATCACGATTTCCCACAAATCGGTCATTCTCCCGCTAAGATCGAGAGTCCTGGTCCTTGTCTTTGTCCCGGATGGGGTGAGCAAACTGACTGAACGTGATGCCATTTGAATCTCCGAGAGACCCAATATATACGATATGGTAGCGCAACAAACCACAGTCAGGGTAAGAAAAATATAATATATCTTACCCTCACACGACACGTGAATGTATCATCCACAACGACACCCTGTTCAATCACTTCCTGCTCCCGTCCCGTCCTTCCCATACATTACATTACATTACAGTAAACATAGCCTTTTCATCGTCAATTTTTGCTTTTTTCGTCGTCGTCTCTTCTCTTCTCTCCTCTTCTCTTCGCTTCTTTCTTATTTCAATTTTTTCTTCACAAACTAAATTTTCTTTTCACACCAAAAAATTTAAAAATTAATTAAAACCTCCCACCACCATAATAACTTCTTGATACTATTCTATCTTATACTATACTATACTATACTATACTATCTTATATTCTATTCTATTCTATTCTATTCTATTCTATTCAATATCTAAATATTAATCATTCGATTCCTTTTGACTATTTGTTGAATTTTTATAACTTTCACTTGTTTATATCTTTGTATCTTTTAATCTATCTTATATTTACATATATATTTACATATATATACTAACAATATCAAATCCATTCCCCCCTCCCTCCCACTTTTATTATTGAAATATTTATAGTATAATTATAGTATAATTATAATATCATATAATAATATATCTCTTATTTTTTTAATATTAAAAGAGAAAAGTCTGTTTGTTAGATGTCTATTGAAAATTTGAAATCTTTTGATCCGTTCGCTGATACTGGTGACGACGAAACAACTACTTCAAATTACATCCACATCAGAATTCAACAAAGAAATGGTAGAAAAACTTTAACCACTGTTCAAGGTGTTCCAGAAGAATATGATTTGAAAAGAATTTTAAAAGTTTTGAAAAAGGATTTTGCTTGTAACGGTAACATCGTTAAGGATGCTGAAATGGGTGAAATTATTCAATTGCAAGGTGACCAACGTGCTAAGGTTTGTGAATTCATGATCACTCAACTAGGTATGCAAAAGAAGAATATTAAGATCCACGGTTTCTAATCTAAGATCAAAATATTATTTTTATATTAGTCCTCTTTTTTTTTTATTAAAAGAAAGAAAAAAATAAAATAAAATTCAAGAAACCTACATTAACTTCCATCACCATCGCCCCTTATCAAGTATCCATATATACCTGTATGTCTAAATTACAATAAAACATATCAGGCATATCGTTCTACAATGTTTCTAAAAAGTATAGAATACCATTTAATTACCTATTGATAAAATTATCTAATGTTTGTCAAGTGAGTTTTCTAGTAAGAATTTCATCCTTGATTTCGACAACTCACTGTATAACTAAATAGATAGAAATATAAATATAAATATGTATAAACCCTATATATTTAGAGATTATAATTCATAATTGTTGTATTCTAAAAGATATAGTTCTTAATTTAAATCAATCAATAATAACCTTCACTATACCACTGCTTGTTAATCAATTTCGCATTATTTATTTATGGGTCATCGGATGTTTCTTTTTCTCTTTCGTCATAACCTTTCGAAATCGAAATCACATCCCATCTCAAGTAATAAAGGTACATATAAGTATTGAAAAGCATTAGTTTACTGCTTTTAACTTCATTTATAACAAGGAAGTAGTGGGAACCAACGACCTAGGGACAAGTTTATTGACATGGGTAGTGGTGATTTAAACTTATTGAAATCTTGGAATCCAAAATTAGTCAAAAATAGAGAAAAAGTCTGGATTAAAGAACAAGAGCTATTAAAAGAAAATGAAATTTTAAAGCAAAAACAACTAGAGATTACAAAAGAAAGAGAATTAGATTCTTTAGTGGATCCACATCATAAGCATAAAAATTCAAAAAAAAATGGACTAGAATGGATGTATTCTGACCCAACTCATAATGAAGATTATTTGTTAGGTAAAAAAAGTTTAGACTCCAGTGTGATTTCAAAAAATAACTTAAAGAATGATTCAAAAGTAGATTCAAAGATTGATTCAGAGCAAACTAAAAAATTCGATTATTCAAATGATGATCCAATGTCAAAATTTAAAATTGCAAAAAAAAGACATATAATTCAGACTAAAGAAAAAATCAGTAAACCAACATCACCCCTTTAAAGGCAAAAGGTTCGAGGTATAACAACAACAAAAAAAATTCAAAG